CCAAGCTCTGCGGGCACCCGCCGCAGCCCCACGGGAGCCCGCCAAACACCCCAGTGACCATCAGCGGATTGCAAGCACCCGCGGGCGCCCGTCGATCTACAAATAGTAGATCACCTACTCCTATTTTTGTGCTGAAGCTTGTCCCCTTGACCCTTTTGTGTGGTCCTGTTTTCTCCTAGGGTAGTTGGAACTTAAAAATGGAGGGAAAAGGGAGGATTTTGTGGCTAGATAAGGGCCTTGAGGGGTTAGTTGGATGATATCTCACATTTGGCTAAGTTTTAGAGAGAGAAATATTGAAGGTGAGGGATTTGGTAAGTCTTGAAGCTTTAGGTGCGAAAATGGAGGGTAAAGCCTTTTCTTCTCCTTCATTCCTTGCATCCATGGGTAACTAACTCCCTATCTAGGGAGGTGATGAAGCCCTCTTTAGTAAGCATGTTCTAGTTTTGATTTTGTTTTGGGGGAAATAATGTATATTTATGACTTTTTCACAATCTAGAGCATTCATTTTGATGTAATGAATTTTAATCTATATAAATGATTATGTTGAAGTTTTTGTCTTGTCTTAGATTCTAATTTCTCATGATCATATAGCTTGTTTTCCATAGTGACAATGTAATTGAGGTTGTGGAATGGTTTTAATGGCATGATGTTTAGGAAGTTTGATAATCTATATCTTAGGGCCTTCCTTTGATAGATTGTTCTTGATTTCTAATTTCATGTGCTTCTATTATGTGATTAAGGGCTTGATAATCTTTTGCTTAATGAACATGTCTAAGGTTGCATTTTAGTTTAGGTAGCCAAAACATGCAATGCTTTGATAGGTTATTCTTGCCTATTGATTTCATAAAATTCTTGAAGGTAATGTAGCAATTTTGTGTTGTTGCATTCCAAGGTCATATGTATATATTATTCTCCCAAGTGAATCATTCTCTAGCATGTTTATAGGATAGGTAGTGGATTCACTTCCCTAGTCCCCTTTACATTATCTTTATCTCTTTAATTCCTTGCCAACTATTGTTTTATGCAAATTTAAATTCCTAATTCTAGTGACAAACCAACAAAACTCTATACCCCCTTTCATCATTCTAAAAGAGATTTTAGATACCTTGGTTGCCATAAACTACCAATCCAGTGGTTCGACTTACCCAACTAATAGCCCTATTTTATAATGATTTGTGCGATTGCAAATGGTTGATTTATTATAGATCGAATACCAAACCAATCAATTTTTGGCGCCATTGTTGGGGATTGCAAACGGTTTTGCAACCGAGGTTAACTTTTGTTTGATTGTTAATATGTGTTTTGTGAATATTTCCTTGTGTGGTTTTGACTATTGTTATGCTTTAAGTTCTTGTGAGATTCTAGGGACTTAAGGCTCGCTGAGGGAACGCTAGCAAATTTGTAAGTCTAGAGGACTCCCAGTAAGTCTTTCGAGCTTCCAGTTTCAAAAATTGTTAATATCTTGCATGTGTTTAAAATTAGTGATAGTTAAGTTGTGAAGCCCTTGTCGAGGCTATTTATTGTTTCTTTTTTATTGCAAAGCATCGGTCCTTGTCGTGGCCATTTATTTTCTGTCTTGATAATTGAGGAGAAATGGAACATCGTATGTGGAGGTTATGGATGAATTGTTGTGTTGATTGTGTTATGTGTTGTTGATGTTTGGCCGCAGATCACTTTCTCTACCGACAATTGACTCGCCAATTGACATAAATTCACTTGAAAGGACTCTTAGAAGAAACCTTAGGGAATCTGCAAGCATAAGAGAAATTGAACTTGAATTTAATACAATGGCCGGTAATGAAGAAAATTTAGGGAATGAGGGAATTAATAATGATAGGGCCAAAATTCCAAACGTGGTTCCCATGACCCTTCGGTATCACTTCATCCCTACCACTTATGCTTCTCCTTCTTACATAGTGATGCCTAACATTGAAGCCACTCAATATGAAATCAAAGTTAGCACAATTCAAATGCTTCCATCCTTCCATGGCTTTGATAACGAGGATCCCTATAAACATCTTGATGAATTCCTTGAAATTTGCTCTACCATTAAAATGAGGGGTTTCCCTGATAATGCACTCCACCTGCGTCTATTTCCATTCTCCTTGAAAAATAGGGCAAAGTATTGGTTGAACTCCCTTGTTGCAAACTTCATCATTTGATGGGCCCAATTGCAACAAGAATTTCTTAAGAAATACTATCCAGTGAGTAAAACCAATCAAATGAGGTGTTCTAGTCTTAGTTTTTTTCAAATTGATGGAGAACAACTCCATGAAACTTGGGAAAGATTACAAGATCTCCTTAGGAAATGTCCGCACCATCTAAATCCAAAATGGCAATTAGTGCAAGCCTTCTATGATGGTTTAACCGAACCACATAGACTCATGGTTGACTCCTCATGTGAAGGGATGTTTATGTCTAAGAATGCGGATGAGGGTTGGACCTTACTTGAGAATTTGAGTGAAAATTCACTACAACATACTTCTCGTAGGGCTCCGACCTCAACCAATGCAAAGAACACCAACCCTTGTCAACCAAAGACAAGTAGGGAAGAATCTTCTCAAGTGGATGCCATAACTCACAAATTCTATCAATTGATGGCACCACATCTTTCTCCCTTTTTGTCTCAAAATTCAGCAAGTGCGGTGTGTGCATCATGCACTAGTCTGTTCCATCTCTCAATGATATGACTCACCGGGAGCAACCAGAGTACTTTCTTACAAAAGTAAAGATACGTATTTCGTGGAAACCACTTAGGATGAAGGTACGTGAAGTCGAAAACCAACTCCGAGCACGAAAAGTGAGGTTGTGCCAAAAAGTGACAAACGGGAAAAGACAAAATAGGGAAAATGACAAAATAGGGAAAATGACGAAAAATGAATAGTGTCAAAAAACAAAAAATGTGGGAATGACTCGGTCCTCAAAGGAAGTTGTCAATCCAAGGAAAAAAGTCTCGGAAATCATTCCAGAGCACTTAAGACGATACTAAGTGATGAAAAACTGAACTCAGAAAGGAAAAGAATGACGGGAAAAAAATATCCGTGAAAATCTGAGAAAAGGGAAAGGAAGGAAAATGACCGGGTCATTACACAACCCCCCATTCTTGGTCCAATATTCTTCATTTAAGAGGCATTGAGATTGCGTTTGGATGCAGCAATTATAAAAAAGTGAAAATCATTTTCACTCTCAAAATAAGGTATGCACATAATGCAGACTAAATAATGTCACGTATAAACATAACTCAATTCAACATATCATTTATGTTATTATTTGAGATTAAAGTATTTTAAAAACACTTTAACATGTTAATTTAAAGATTTAAACAAAAATTAAAGTCACTTGGATTGACTTTAGACAACAAACAAAACACTTAATGTTTCCAAAAATAATGAAAAGAGCCACATCTATTTTTTATTTTTATTTTTCCAAATATTAAAAAAACATACACTTAGGTATAAATTATTTGACATATCTTTCAAAAAATATTGGCAAAGTTTAATATTAATTGCCACACTCACCACTTTTACCATTAAAAAAAAAAATTTGACAAAATTTAATATTAATTGCCACGCTCATCACCTTCACCAAAAAAAAAAGTATTCACATAGTACTGAAAAACTAATAGTGATATATAAATCTCAACATATTATTTATATATTTTTTAAGTTAAATTTTATCATAAAAAATAGAATATCCAAAAAAAATAGTCACATGTTAATTTAAAGAGGATTTTGAAGGAGATTATGAAGTTTTTTGCTGTTAACAACTTTTACTTTTTAAGTGATGATGTTACCCTCTTATGGTGATATTACTTTTTTAGACTCTACTTATAAATGATGGTCAAATGGTGACATTTCACTTTTTTGTAATTGTCGAATGCGGTCTCATAGGAGCTCACTGCAGGGACTGTATGGGAATTCACTTCAGAGGATTCGCGCCCCCTGATTTTTTTCCTTTCCTTACTTATATATATATTCCTATAATATGTATATATTTTTTGGAAATGTATAAGATCAGCCCTTGAAATTTCTCATTCCCTTGTATACTTATATGTTTCCTTAAATTTTTTTTCTTATATTGTTTCATTATTATATTGTATATATGAAATTTATTAATTTACCATGTCCCAAAAATATCAATCTCTTTATATCCATTTGTGTCTCTCCCTTTATATATACTCCACAAAACCTAATATATATATATATATGCATTATTATATAAATATTTATTTAGTGTACAGCTTCCCAAAAAAAAAAAAAAATTCTATTTTCAAAAGATTAGTAACTTCTCACATATGGCGCCAACTATTGAACCGAAAGTTTTTCTTGCAAGAAAAGAGAAGAGGTGACCAAGATTGGTGCCCGGACGGAATACACTATGACCATCAAGTTAGTACCTAAATAATTACATATAAAAAAAATATTTTGTACTTAAAATAATTTTATTCCTTCAATTCTCGTGTGATTTTAACAATTTCATACCACATCCGCATGGTTATAATTTTTGAGTTTCCAATGTCGAAGCAGTTTATTTTAAATTCATTCACGACAAGGAAACCGAAGTTCCCTTTTGTTGTTTTAGAAGGATAACAAGAATTGTCCTTGTAATGTTGAAACCTAAAATGGAAAATTTTCATTTTAGGAAAAAATTGGTTGTGCCATGTTTGTCTCCCCTTAGAGAATAAACCATTACCCCATATTCAACTACAAAGAATGCCATATTTATGGAGCATAACAAAAAAAAGTTACAATCCCGAATTTGTCAACGAAGAAATAATTGTTACAGTATGACAAACTATACAATAAAGCAGATAAAACCATAAGGATGCCGAAAAAATGAAGAAAATATCAAATATATGGTAAGTGGGTGCCACAAAATTTAATATTTTTGTACATATTATTTAAGAAACATTGTTGACCATAAGAGTTTGGTTTTGCTGTCACATGCATGCTTGGGAAAATAGATGTCACTTATATTTATTTTTACATTTTCCTTTTTCCTTATTAATGTTGAAACTTGAAACATTTAGTAGGAACTATATTGGGGCTCTTTCTACTTTCTCTCTCCTCTCTCCTCTCTCCTCTCTCTATCCAGAAGGGCAAAAAAAACCCTAAAAGAGCCGTTTACCTACAAGTAAGTTTTCTCTCTCTGTATCTGTCTGTCTCTCTCTTGCTCCTCTCTTTAAAATCTCAAATTTTCATTTCTTTCTTTAGAAACTTGAATTTTTATCCATTTTACTGATATTCGCATGTCATTTATATTCTGATGTGTGATTGTCTTAAGGTTTAATTATCAGGATGAATCTGTTCTTTTTTTTTTTTCTATTTTATATGAGATCGAGGTTCAAAACCATAAAGTTTTGACCTTTTCGTTTGAAATGCATTTTCTTAAAATTGCAGCATTCGGCGATCGTGGGTACTGATTTTTTGTTTGTTCGTCTTGGTGGTGGTTTGGTTCTTCTTATCCTTGTGTTCTGTTGGGGCCTTTCTTTGATCTCTTTGGTTTTAATTGCCATTGCCAATAATGGGTCTATTGAAATTGGAACATTCATTTGATGCTGTTCTTTGTGCTTATTGCTCTGATTCATTCTTCAATTTCATGGCTGTTTGGATCTTCCCATCCCGTGTCTGATTTTACATTTTGAAGCTTGTGCTATGTCTATGGGTTTGGGTTTCCTGTTTTCAGTGTTTTTGTTGGTTATGATCCATGGTCCGTGTTGGTCTCATTTCCATTGTTATCAGGACTACAATGTCTCTAATGTTTAAATTAAAACATGGTAAAGGTTTAATATTTATGCTGTTGTTTGCCTCGATCTGTAGTTTTGATGGATGATGACGGATTGAATATGCGGAATTGGGGTTATTATGAACCCTCCTTCAAAGGGCATCTTGGTCTGCAGCTCATGTCATCTGTGGCAGATCGAGGCACAAAACCTTTCCTATCCGGGCGTGATCATGCAGTTATGCTAGGCGCCAATGGACCTTTTCACTCTCGGGATTGTGGGGTTTCAGAAGCACCTGTACACATGGACTATGTGAGGGACAGTTGGATAAACCAGAGAGATAAATTTCTTAATATGCTACCGGCAAACCCTAATTATGCGGTTCTTCCCGAACCTTCTGTAACTCATCCCATGCAGATTTTACAACCTCCCGAATCATCAAAGGATGTGAGGGCAGATGTGAGGGTTGGTGTGGAAATTCCAAGTGTGAGAAAGGAAGGAGGTGGTCCTTTGAAGAAGAGGACAAGTAGCAGCATCCCGAAGTCACCGAAACCAAAGAAAAGTAAGAAAGGCCCTTCTGTGCCAAAGGAGAATGGTAATTCTTCTGTTCAACGCGTGAAACCAGCAAAGAAGAATATGGATGTTGTTATAAATGGGATCAACATGGACATCTCAGGTATTCCCATACCAGTTTGCTCGTGCACTGGGACTCAGCAGCAGTGTTATCGATGGGGCTGTGGTGGTTGGCAATCGGCTTGTTGTACCACAACTATATCGATGTATCCCTTGCCAATGAGCACCAAAAGACGTGGCGCAAGGATAGCTGGAAGGAAGATGAGTCAGGGTGCGTTCAAGAAGGTATTGGAGAAACTTGCATCAGAAGGGTATAACTTCTCCAACCCAATTGATCTGAGGTCTCACTGGGCAAAACATGGTACCAACAAGTTTGTGACAATCAGGTAGATTTACTTTGGGGTTACTGTCACTGGACTCGCATCCATCTGGTCTGTTTTACCTGTACATATGTCTGTGACCTTTTTCAGTGTTCATTTGATGATTTTAGAGTCTGAATCTTCAGTCATGATACATGTTTTTGAACTCAGACATCTGGGATCGATCGGAAATGTTGTTTATTTCTCTTTCTGTTTTTGTTTTAAAGGCTCCAAATTCTGGCCTCCAGGATGTAGGACTGAGAATGAGTTTTTTTTAATTGAATCATTTTGAGATAATATCGTTTCTTCATCCATCTTTGTTGTCCAAGATTAGAAATTGAATGCTGCATTTGCCTCTTGTTCTCCAACTGGCACACTGGAATGGGCATGTATTGCGTGTTTTACGTATACCTGGATTTGGGCATTTAACTTCTATCTGTTACAGGAAAGTTCCTCAAGATGTAGCTGTGTTCATGATCTTGGAAATTTTTACATCTTTGTTTGTCTTCTTTACTTGTTATTGTGCGTTATATGAATTCTTAAATATGTGAAGCATTCACATTGGACACAAGTATCACCCGTAAATCAAATTGATTAGAATGTTGTGCATAAAACTTTCTTATCATGTTCTTATTACATAATATATATATAGCTAACATATATACATAAGCCATCGAAGTCCTACTTACCCAATCAAAAAGAAAAAAAGAATGATCCAGAGTTGGACAAGGAGTAAAGAAAAAGGCCATCATATAATACCTCCAACACAATCTCTACAAAGCCTATGACTTAACACGCACTATTTTAGTTTGCTTTGACGACAGTTTCTCTAACCACACCATTTTTCTTCTTCTTCCTCTTCCTTTTCCTCTTCATCTTCCTACCACTCTCAAGTTTTTTTCTATTTTAACACTTCCAGTCACACAAAGTAATTTTGGTTCCCCATAGGTCTGAACCCACAAACGATTTTAGTTTACTTTGACGACAGTTTCTCTAACCACACCATATTTCTTCCTCTTCCTCTTCCTCTTCCTCTTCCTTTTCCTCTTCATCTTCCTACCACTCTCAAGTCTTTTTCTTTTTTAACACTTCCAGTCACACAAAGTAATTTTGGTCCCCCATAGGTCTGAACCCACAAAACCAGAAAGTTCAAGTTGATGGGTTGTTGTTCCATTATCTTCTCATTTAAGTTGATAGGTTGTTGTTCCATTAACTTCTCATTTTTTTACTCATATGAGTGTCTCTCCCAATTGTGTCCAATGATACTTCTACTCTTTTCATGGCTTTTCTTGTTACCACAAGCGTGTTTGTCATCTTCCCCGGATTGGTTTTTGGTCAATGTCTCAACGTTCAGCAATTGCTGTTGGTCCAATTGAAGAACATACTGAAATGCAAGTCTCACTTCCCACTAAGCTGATAAACCAGGTAAGTACCCTTGTTGAACAGCGTGTGATACTTATAAACATCATTTTTCCATAAAAAATAGGAGAATAATATTAAAGAGTGAATATTTCGGTGTGACCCCATATCCTCGGGTTTGAGAATTTAATGCACAAGAGACTCATCTAAATTGTGTCTGGGGTCCACATAACATGGGTGATTATTGAATATGCATTTTGGCAAGTAAAAAGGAAAGAAATGAAAAGATAAAGTAATGCTTTCGTTGTTAGGAAAGAACTTTGTATTGGATGCCAATAAAGATGCATGCTAAACATGTTTCCATCTGATTTAAACATTTTGATGAGTGTTTAACCAATGGGAAGGTGTGCCACTTATGTCATATAAAAAGCCTTCAATTTTTTGGGTAATTTTTATCTCATACTTGACCTTTCCATAAGCTTACAAATTTTGTTGCTTATGGAAAGGTCAAGTATGAGATAAAAATTACCCAAAATGCACAAAATTTCGTAATTCGTGCATCACTTGTAATGTTTCTTATAAACTCCTTGTTTGGTTTGAGCATACGATTGTTTTACCCCTCATATGCATTATTCATTGTAAAACTTCTTATTTTATTTTTTTTGATAAGTCATTGTAAAACTTTTGCTTAATTTGCATATTTGGTCTCCAAGCTTAATTATTATATCTTGAATATATATCTATGTTCTTATTGTGCTGACTTTTTATTGGGTGAAATTCTAAAACTAACGCATATGAGGTTAGTGTTGGTGGGAGATTTATACATTCTTACAACACAAGTAGATCAAATTAATGTTTTACTGGCCTGATTATGGCTAAGAGGCATGGGTTTTTTGGCATAAGGCATATGAATCTGTGTTAATAATCATATTAATGCTTAATAGTAAATATGAGATACATACACATAAGAGAGACATATTGGAAAGAAGAAGAAATCTACAAAAGACATTTTGGAATTTTTTTAGCTGAATCAACATTAATTCACCTATTCTGAAGTTGAATTTTGAATTTAGATCTAAAATTGAGAAGCTGGCATTAATAACTGTTTGGACATTGAGTCATGTGTTGTTCAATTTCTACTGAAAACATGGATTGTATTGTGTGCCAAAATTATGATTCGTTTATTTAGTCACAAGAAGTTGATGGAGATGAAGATCAACAAAGAATCTACCGAAAATGTCTCAAGCTTAATCACATATCTAGGATAAGGTAAGTTAAGACCATAAAGAACAATTATAACCTAGGTATGATATTTAAAAGGCTCAAAGTTATGTTTTAATCTTGTTTATCGAAATTGGGATTTTTGATAAAATGATTTTCAAAATTAGTTTTTTCTTCTATATATATATATATCTATATATATATATATATATATATATTTTTTTTTTTTTTTCACAAAAGTGACATAGTCCACATTGAGGGTAATATTAGGAAAAGAGGAAGATCAAAGTTAACATGGATGGAACTAGTGAAGAAATATATGATAGCATGTGGATTGACTGAGGCCTTAAATAGACCAGAATGGAAAAATAGGATTCGTGTAGCTGACCCCAAGTAATTAGAAAAAGGCTTGTTTGTTGTTGCAGAGAGCGTCAATCAAATGATTGGTGAATCAAAATTTTGCAGGATTTTACTTTTTTTCTTTTTTCTTTTTATAATCCCGTTAAGCTTTGATCGAAAGCTTGATCAATCAAAGCAGTGACAGTGGTGTTCGATCGATGGAACCCTTCAGAATCCTGTTCTTGGAAACTCTTTTAAATTAGAGTTTAAAAAGATTAACTCTAGAGTTTTTCATAAATTACTATAATACAAGTGATTGAGAGAATTAAAAGCAAGGGGAAGAATAATATAATTAGACAAAGCATCAACTCAATGGTTCGTATTGATCAAGTTGAATGCGCATCACCAGTTGTGGAGATCAGAAGTCCATGGAGAAGCACATTGCATGAGTAGCAGGCTATATTACATGGACTCGGGTATGTGTGTCGGACACGGGTATGTATTCATGTGTCGGACATGTCAAATCTCCAAATAGGACACGAGGACACGGCTAAATATTTATTTTATTAATTATTTTATTCTATTTTGTAGAGTAAAGTAATGTTTTTATCTAATTCAATGTTCAATATAGGCATTTCACTCATTGTAAAGTAATAATATAATATAATTGAATGATTGGATATGCTTTTTAAGTACATATCTTACTAAAAGTGTCGGACACATATCCCATACCCATGTTCGAGTAATATGTGTCCGACACGGGTACTTCACCACTTTGAAGAGTCCATATAACATAGGTAGAGGTTTGTTGATGGATCCACGGCTGGAAGGATTGTAGTATATTTCGATCTTTCTGGTCTAGCTTATGTGGTTTTTCCCTTTCTAGGATTGTCCACGGAAGATAATGCATCTCTGCATTATTTTATTTATTCTTTATTTGTTTATGTGATTGTTAACTGATTCTGAGTTAATCAGTTATTTATTTGCAAATTTGGTATCCATAAAACCTATTCGACCCCCTTTTAGGGCTAATAGACTAAATGCAACTCTGACTTTCATAACCTTTGGTAATGGTTCCAATATTGCACAACTAGTATCAGAGCATATCGATTGCAGATTTCTCAATTAGTATTTAGAGCATATCGATTAGGTAGACCTTGCAATGTCATCAGAGTGGGTTACTCAACATAGAGGGTTGATCTATAGACCAATTATAGGTATTAGAAAATTAGACAGTTGACTTTATGTATTATGATAATTATGCTTTCTTTGATAATATAATCCCTAGTTACCTGGTAATGGTTCTGATGTGACTTTGAAAGGGAGATAAGTTTTCAGAAGAATGATTATCTTATTTGTGATGCCTTTCATTATGAGTTAATTTAGTTAGAACTCACAATAAATCTAATTTAATTATTATGAAGATGATAAATTTAGGCTTGTTTTTGCTAAATTGCATAATGATTTTCTCAACCTAAAATGGGAAAATTTTGAATTGCTAGATAGAATAAAAGTAATACTTGAATCTGAAAAATATATGTTAAATATTGCTAATTCCACAATTTTTTTTTTTTGATAAGTAACAATTGTATTTTCTAATTCCACAAATCTAGTTGCTAAACTTAAGGAAGAGAAAGATCTGTTATTAGAAAACAAAAGATTTAGAATTTGAGGTTGCACAAGTCCATGGTTACTTGACTATGTAATAGATGCATAGTCTACCAGGATTTATGTGATACTAAAATGCTTGGCTCTCAAGTATGAGATTGAGCATCCAATTTGTGCAAATAAGCCAATGGTTAAGTCTGAATCCACTCCACCGCTCTCAGTTCCCTAGATTAATGGGAACCACACTGGCAATAACCCTAATACTTTAATGACTTCCGCTGAATGTTGAAAGATGATTTAATATGGTAACATATTAACAATTATCCTTTTAGTATATAGTGACTTAATTAGTAAAAGTATATCGTATTTACTAATGATCTAATATACTAACTTACTATGCTATTTACACTAACTATAGTATATCTAATTATTATTAATCACTATAGTAAGGAAAAATAAATCATAATTATAAGATGAAAAAATATATTATAAAATAGAAGTTTAGCATAAATGAATAATTGGAATACAATTTAATTTTTAATAACAAAATAGACAAAACTAATATCTAGAATCTGTCTAATATGTAGATTACGAAACAGTATAATTTATAAGTTTGTAATATTGTAATTTGTATACTGTTTATCACTTGAACTTGAAATGTAGGCTTGGATCTTGTGTTTTAGAAGACTTGGAGGTTATTTTTTGTGTTTTAGAAGTGGGATTAGAGAGAAGTAAAAAAAAATTGGAAAGAAAATGAAAAAAGGATAAAA